ATAAAATTTAGTATTTACAGAAGTCTGCGAAATTAATAAAATTCAAAAGTTCTTCACATATGTTTTCCTAACAACACATTTTATACGATATCGAGTATAAAATCTATATTAACCATAAATTTATTTTACAATCGTGTAGACTACTGATAGCGTACAAACTATCTTTAAAAAATAAATAAACTAAATTGCATAATATCGGATAATTATTTAATGAATAATATTTGTCAGTTAGCTTTTCCAAATGTTTGGTTTAACTTCAAATACCATATTTAATCATTTTTGTAAACACTGAAGTGGACACTAAATCACAGTGCACGATAAATTCAGCTATTTAACTGCAAGTTACTCTGTTTACATTACTTTCTTACGTTCACTTTTCATTTAACGAATAGGTTAACGTAATCTCGCATCTGTTTATGCTAAACAAACAAAAAAATCTTATGAGAAACTGCGCACGGGTTTTACTCACCAGAAGCAACGAACAAAGAATCACTGAGCTCTTTCTTAGGTCTTCTAGTCCGAAGAGTTCGACCTTAACTGATTCCTCGTCGTACTTTATACTACGCTTTTATACTATACAGTCGCGTCACTGCGAAGCCTTTAAACTGCAAATATCCACATATGTACGTATATGTCCGCTGAGTCTGAGTGAGTTCAAAAGATAAGAGTGAGAACTGTTACACTTCTTGGATACATGACTCAGATTCCGTCGTAGCTAAAAGACTAATATGAATACCTCGTTCCTGGTCGAGTCTAATTATTTTGTACAATAACAAATGGATCGTTTAATGGTTCTTTCTTTCAATTTTTTGTTTCTCTTAACAACTTGCTGCAAGTAATTATTGGAAGAGTTGGAATAATTTTATTCCACACACAACACTGTAATTTGAACATTAAATTTGTAAATATAAACTAATTTCAGTCATTCAATTCTTAATATATACTTTTTACGCTAAAACTTGCAATGAACGTTTTAATTCCGCTTTTCGTTTCAGAACTCTGGATAGTCATGTGTATTTGTAAATTCTCAGAGATTCAATATTAAAAGGGTATTGTACATAAGTAATGAAATAAATTTAATTGAAATGTTTTCAGAGTTATATTTTTACTAATTAGTAAAAAAATATTATAATATTTCACTTACTTTAATTACAATAATTTAATGTTGTTAGATTGTACATTGGGCGAAGTATTCTTGTAATTTACATTATTCAAAGTATGTCCAAAAATTATAGATCTATGATACATTTCGAATGTTGGTTATTTATTTGTAATCTTATTTCGTACTTGTGACGAACGATTATGTTACATATTTCTGTTTTATTATCCAATATTTTAAAAAACATGGAGCAACTTGAACTGAGAAATGGAAATGCATATGAAGTGAATATTTTATAGTAATTAATGATATCTATCATTTATACCAAAAATACCTATTGTCATATTGAAGACATTAATAAACTATTATTAGTAGCCCATCAAGAAATGTTATTACTCATAGAATGCGAATTTTATGCATTTATAGCTAATACGGCTTTGTGAAATACAATAGAGAAAAAATTTTCATCAGGTGCAATGTGTTTCCTACTTTATTCTGAACACAATAAGATATTTAAGAAAGTAAGAAATTCCTATCTTTGCTGATGTCTTCAGAAATTACTTTTAAAAATGCCATTTTGCATAAAAATCCGCAGTCTAGTTATTACTTTACCAATTTATTTAGTTAAATAAATCTGTGTTCTATGCGATTACGTTTTATAAGTACAGCTTAGGTGATTCTAAAACATTTAAATAAAATCATGCTTCCAATTAATTATCATATTGTGAATTAACAGTTATACTAAACATGTATAATTTGAGATATTCCGAGAGGCTCGAAGAGTACCAAATGAAATCAAATGAATTTGAAGTTATAAGCAATGTGTAAAAATACGATATAGTATTTACAAACAAGCTGCAGTAAATGCTAACACACACTAACATAATTGAATTGTTTTAACCTTGGACATGGAGGAATCTTTCTGTGAAATATGAATTTCTTTATAAAGAGAATATACATATATGCACTCTACATTCCCGGAAGCATACTGTGTACATTCTGCAACACATTTTTATCTATTTCTTACGATTTCTTCTAAACAATAAACACGCATATAAGATCACCGCGCAAAACCATTTTATATTCTTTCCCAGACAGCAAAGCGGCCTTGTAATTTCTGTTTAAAAAACAAATCGGATTGACAACGTTTTCGGAATATCAATAACTACCTTGTAAAGAAGGCGAAGCAGGGAACCATAAAACATATCATAAACTGCTCAAAATATAATCACGAAGACAGTTGTTATAAGAAAGTCGAGAATTTAAGTTTTAATTGCATTACTATTACCATTAATATCGTTATATACAGCCCGTCACAAAATGATATTTTCTTAAATGCAGACATATATATCAGTCAAATAAAGTGCTTAAACACTTAAGGAAAATGGATTAGGGAAAACCAGTTGACAATTCAGAATCTATTACCACTTCATTATCTTCGCACAAACAATTTGCACATGAGTGTTTTGATGAATTTGTATGATTCTCTGATTTAAAAATGTTGTGAGTGATATATGGAATTCTGTTATAAAAAGGTAACACATGAACATTTTTTTCTGCAGTTTGAGTTATAGTTAACTATGTAATTACATAATATACATTTCTTATACTATTTAATTGAGAAGAACAGAACCCATAAAAAGATTGGAGGGACTATGACCATGCAATGTTTTACTTTTTAATATTTATTTGTGGGAAAAACATGCTTTATGTAATATTTCTATCAACTGGTGTTAGGTATGGGTTAGGTATAATCGTTGATAAAACTTACAACCTACAACACATGGGCCAACCCACAGGTATTGTATGTCGAATACGTGGGAAATGATAAATCAATTGAGACAAATAGAAATGAATGTATTTAAAACACAAACGACGCAAATTACAGTCCAAGTGACACGTAATTGACGTCAGATGTTTGCTTTTTTAATGTTTTTTTACTATCATTTGATAATCACGCTCTAAATAAAAATCACGCATACATCCCTTCCTACGATTTCGAGGTAGTACTTTTATGTTGCTCCTTTAACTAATCCAAATGTATTGACTTTTGTCTGCAAAATAGGTTCTGAAGTTATACGACAAGTTATGATTATTTAAATTAAAAAATTACTAATTTCTCGCTTTATGTATCTTTTAGTCCATCTGCTTTTTTTACAACATTCCCATCGTAATTCCGGTAAATAATTAATGCTTTTCTAATCCCTTTGAATTTACAGAATTATGCCACTAATGTTTTAAATGTCGAGAGAAGTATAAATTTGGACACTGGCCATTTTTTACAACCCTCCTTTGCAAATCACTTTCGGTCAATGTAATATTACAATTGCTAATAATAAAGTAGAGAAACCACTGAAGTAAAACAGTACGTTATATGGAGTTTAAATATTATTATTTCATATTCAAGATTTTTATGCTCCGACTTCATATCGGCGATGGTGTATTAACGTTCGAATAGAATTTTACAATTTTATTACCGGTATGTACTTGGGTTTCCTTCGCTTTTCCTGTCGACAAAACGCGTTCCATTAAATTACAGTACCTACTGGCTGTTCTGGGCCTGCCGATTAATTTTTCAGAATAATGCTTTAGAGACGCGTATATCCAACGAATATCAGGGGAAGTCGAAACCTAACCCCCCGTCCCACACGTTTCCTCAACAATTATAATTCGTTCCAATTATACTCCATACCCGTGCAACAATTCAAAAGAGGCATCCACCGCGAACATTCTTTCTCCATTCGTCGATATAAAATGGCTAGTTCACCTTTGCCTTCTGCGCCGATATGCTACTGACTGTGTATTTCCCGGCTTTATAGATTCCATTGATATTCCGACAAAGCCCTCTTGTTCTTTAATTCGCTTAAGAGAAAACAACGGGAAAGAAAACTGAATTAGCAGCGAAAACCACCGAATGCGGTACACCTCCTTTTTTTTTGTTTTTACATCGACGAATTTTGCTGTACTAACAGACTAGGTGGTGGATTGCTTTCTTCTGTCTTCGTGTTATCAACAGCGAAACAGAGTGCAGTAATTTCGAAACTTTTGTTCATATTGTACACCTTTGATACGTACTTATTGCACTGGCTTTGACCCACAAAATGTCGGGTGTTTTATTTCGATCGATACCCTAAATTATGAAACGTTAAAAATCTTCGAAGAAAGAAAAACATTTTTGATACTAGTCGACCTTTTTCGAAATTTTAATGTGTATTATGAAGGGGACATGTGCTCATTGTAACGAAACCATTCGTACAGGAAAAACATTTGAGACACTTTAGGTGTACCAATAAGTAATCCACTATATTTTGGTGAATTCAATAGTTACATATTTTCTTTTATATTTGTTTAATATTTACATATTTTCGTTTTATGTTTGGCCTCATCCTGCAATGTTCACCGTCATTTCGAAAGAAGAAAGGACTAAAAGGATGTGTTAAATTTAAACTATGTCATTAGTTTATGACAAAGAAATAGTAAAATAGAGAGGTGTTCATGTTTAGAAAATAAAATTAAACGTGGTACGCGATGAAAAAATGTTATTTTTAGAATATTCCTCGCACAGTGTAATTTTTCTTGTAAAACAGCTGATTGATCCGGAAAACAAAACAAACCTCAAGGAATCCTCCATATTACTCGGACATAAGAAATCGACTTCCATTCATGGAAAGCATAACGTTACACAAGTACTAACAGAATATATTGAATAATTTGATTGACTTGACAATTTTCTAACATTAGATTCTAACAAACATACATATGTATAGTGAAATCGTCTGTAGAGCATATTTCTGTCAAGGCTTATAATACCTGAATCGCTGCAAGTTTGTTCGAATATCAAAAGAGAAAGGATACAAATCTTTCTGAAGGAAATAGTCGAAGAAATTTATGATAATCTGCATGTATTTTATAGTTTTATATTATAGAACTTTATTTACTACATCAATGATATCACCGATACAAAGGTGTTATTAGAATGGAAATATTGGGACAGAAATCATTACGAAATCAAACGAAAACGAATTGGGTGGTCGTTTCGTTTGGGTAGCCTGGAGGATACGGTCCGTCTCAAAGTGGGATTGTATAGTTGACTGTGTTATAGACACCATCACTTAGCACACATTTACTTGTGTACGACAAACAGGTAAGATTTTGGCAACATTGTTCAGTTATCTGACACTAAAAAAAAATATACATACTTAATTGAAATACACACAAAGATGTGCAAAATACACAACGTGTAACTGAATACTTGCAAAGATACTGCATCATTAGATTCGCAATTCAAAAGAAATTAAATATATTTCTGTGGTGAACATACAGTGGGTAAAAAAAGTATTCACACGCCTGTTAAAATAGAACAACTTTTTTCAAATTGAATCAAGTGGCTTGAGTTTCTTTGTGAACTTAGAAGGATTAGTGTACTAAATTGTTGCGACCCAACGCAGGTAGGCGATGGTCGCAACGCTCGTCGCGTCTTGGGCCGTCCACATGGTCACCAAACTGTCATAAATAGAGATTCCTGGACAGCTGCACATTACGTGCAAACCATTCGCGGTTCTTAAGACCCTTCCTTATATTTCGGCGCTGACTTGCAGGAATCCAAGTAACAATGCATACACCAAACCCCACTTCTTCCAATTCATAGTACCACCTCTTCAACCACGTACACCAATAAAATTCTGCATTTCTCACCAATCAAGAGTCGATCCGTTCCAGTAAGCACCTATACATTCCCTCATTCAGCAGAACACATTCAACCGTCAACAAGGACACATCGATCAGTCAGAACACAAGCAGTACACAGATACACATACATCACATTGTTAAGTTTATATTAAAATCTAAGTATGCTACTAAGTTGTGTCAATCATTTAAAACACATAATACCGATCACCATCACATCATCTTTCAAACGAGCTCCACGGTATTAATTTACTAACTAGCAGCGGTTACTTCGCGAGTTTATCGCGAGACGTCGAATCATAAATGATGTGTTAACAACATTTTGAAAAAGTTCCAATTGGTCGGAATCGCGAAGAAAATAGTACAAGTCGCTTTTTGCGACTTTTTTATTCGCGATTGTAATGAAAATTTAACAAATTCATTGGTTAGATTTATGTTAGTTATATGCATGCTGAAAATTTCATCGAAATCGGTTAACATTGCTATGAGATACGAACGATTAAAAATGTTGAAAATCGCAATTTTTCGGGACTTCCAAGCTGCAACTGTAGTAAATCTAAAGATTCTTACATCTTTTGATGCGTGTCACTCCTTTTGTATCAACCGATTCCAATAAAAATTTCAGCATGTATATAATTAAGATTAATCTTCGAAATGTATTTATTAAATTGTCATTACAATCTCACATAAGAAAGTTGTATGGAGCGACCTTTAGTATTTTTACACATCATTTAGTGAACTAATCCCAACTTCACAAAAAATCTCAAGACACTTGGGCCAATTTAAAAACAACTGCTCTGTTTTAAAGTCTGTGCGAGTACTTTTTGTACCCACTGTACATTAGGACATATCTTCATAGGGACGGAATTTTTACTTATCTTTAAGTTTTAAATTTGCATAAAAAATGTTCCTGTGTAGATAGTCGATAAGTGCATGAAATTAATATATACAAAATATAGTATAATACAATTTTATGCAAAAAAAATTTGATACTTTCATTACACACGTCTGTGTTTTAAATTACTATTATAGTAGATACACTTAACTATATTTTTTCTGAAATTGTTAGTTCAATGCATTAATTTCTAATCAAAATACTTTTGTGATTCGAAAGTGGAAAATAGTTGTAATAAAACTATAAATTCACACAAAATGAACACCATTTGCTTGTAACTAGTAAAATACATAGAATGTAACACGCCTGCAGTACCAGTATTATTATAAAAAAAGAATACAATTTTATACCTAATTCTATTAGAACTAATGACTACAGACTGAGCGTATAGTATTTCAGATGTTCTAACTTAAAAAATAACGTTACCGGTCCCAACCACGGTGAACATATTCCGTTTTCCAAAGGAGCACACAAATTAGTACCAAATACGGTTGCAACGATCAAACACATCCACAGAAATTTCATTGTGATGATCAGTCTTCAGAGCTGGAAATATTATTGAAAAATTGAATAGATAGGGAGACGTGGCTTGGAAAGGTGGTAATTCTGAACTTTGAAGTATTCAGTGGGTATTAAATTTTTTCGTTTCTAGACACTAAAAAGAAAACACCAATTTATTCAATTATTAATCTAATCTCCTCCATTATCATTAAACAGTAATGCAATTTCCTCCGTTAAAGATTCAGTCAAAGTATGTAGTGAAAAACACCGTCAGTTCTACATATGCAAAAGAAGAAATTACGCGAATACACCAACCCAATACGAAGAATAATGCAATACATACATTTTATATGCTTATCTAAAAATTTTATTATGAATACTATTATTGATCATTTATAAATGACTTCATGTACTTTTGTATTTCGAAACTTCTAACCGTTAAACGTTTAACATTTTTTTCATCTGATTGCAATTATATGCAACGTAGAAACTGTTGGAGTTATGCATAAGAAATTTTGAAAAAAAGCGACGTCTGTTTCTAATTTAATTGTAAGAAAGGACATTTCTGATGCACTAGCATAATACTACATATTTATTATTATAAAGAATACAAATGACCACCATAAATGTCTCCAAACAAATGACCACCATAAATAGTTCTGGAGAGGTTCAAGATATACATATACAGTTCTACATTTAAAGACAAATACACTGCTCAAAACAATTAGAGGATCATTATATTGCAACCACTCTGCTTGGTAATACGGTATAAAATTCTCGAAAAATTTTTAATAAAATCGAAAATACATGTTAGTATCATATCTATAAAGTATTAATCGGTGAAACCCATAGTATCTACCTACAGTGATCAAACTGCGGCTCGCGAGTCGCATACGGTTTTTTTAGACCCTTAATATGGATCCTATATGTATAATTTTACAGTATTTTTTTAATAAAGTTGACACATACTACGTACATGTATATAACATGACATTTTTGTAAGTTTGTTGACTTCTTTATGTAGTGTAATGCACACAGAGACTGTAAGCATAACTCACAATTTAATGTCATTCCAGTAGAAGATGCGACTGTTGAGTATTTCTGATAACATATATATATCTGACTTAATGTTTTTCTGACAAGGTTTGGCCACTACTATAGTCGTTTCGTTTGGTTGGCACAACAGAACCGCTAACAGTAGTGATCCTCTAATTATTTGGAGCAGTGTGCATAGTATAAACTTTAGCAATGATAATGTGCAATTTCAGAAAAACTATAATGAACCTTTTGTTATAGTTAGAGTAGATTTTATACAAACTTATGGTCAGCTGTAATCGAACTTTGGACGTTAAAGAATATTCGGAACTATCCTGAAAAGAGGAATTTCCCGTATTTATACCCGAGTATTAGTCACGTTCATAATTATCTGCATACACGCGTTACCGTACTGTATTATTACTTCACTGATACAAGGAGTTCAAGAGTTCCTCGGTGACAATGACTATATACGTAGATATTACAACACGGTCTGCGTGTACGTAAGTAAACTGACCAACTGTGATCTTTCAAACAGTTTTATTTCTGTCCATTTATTTGCCAGTTAGAAACAACACTATTGTGACAATTAAAAGATTGGCCCACTTTGGAGCCTAAAACTGAAATTTATTTTTTACAATTTGTTATTGCGAAAATAATGAAGTAAATGGGAAATCTATTGAAGGATATTTATTGTATATATGTATATATTTTCAGGTACGGGGAAGATTTCTTTTTAGAATAAAATGGCGATGCTGGGGCTACTTCTCGTTGATTAGTTTTTAATTGAGCATCTAATCAGCATGCAGAATAATTTCAAAACGGTTTGACCTAGAACAAAAAACGAAACATTGTTATTTTCTCCGCGTCATTTATGAAACAAATACGTAGGGATTTTTCGAAATACGATTCCTTGGACGAATAGAAAATATTTGGTAAAAAGTATCGTTTTTAACCGAAAAATTTGGTAACTAACTGTCCGTAGCAAAAAAAAGTTTTTAGCATATCACAAGACACCTACGTATTTCTTTAGTAAATGTCATGTAGAAAATGATAATATTTCACTTTTTATTCAATGTCGAACTGTTTTCATGCTATCATGCACACCGATTAGATGCGAATTTAAAAAAAGCAAACGTGGCTAAGGTCTAGCGTCGCTATTTTATGTTTAAACATTTCTTTTTCGCGTACCCGAAGATATGTATGTACAATGAGTAACTTATAATAGTTTTCCTGTTTAGTTTATCATTTTTGCAATAAAAAATTGCCAAAGGATAGCTTTCATTCTTTCGCTCCAAAGTGGGATACCTTAGCCGAGAATAGTGGTCGCCTAGTGGTCCACAATCAAATTTTAGCAGCTCAAATGATTAAAACCCTTAACAAGGACACTTCGGTGACCCGAAACTTTCGGTTATTTTGGAACTGTGCAGGTTTGTAGGAGTCCACAAGAGAGTATCGAGAAACTTTTGTTTTTGGCTCTTTTCGGGTTCTTCAGGGTGCAATCCTTCTTGATGGTAGATAAATGTTTCCCCTTTTCCCTGCATATCTTTAAAAATATAGTAGATATAAAAAATGGGTATAACAAAGATTGAATGGTTTTTCATGCTTTACGAAATGATACTACTAAAATGATACAAATTTATTGCTTAATTAAAGAATTCCTCTGGCACCGTTATTGTGAAGAATTTTGAATTTTCTGTCACGTTGAAGAATATGTGGAATGTCATTACTAGATACGGATTATATGCATTTATAACATATACAATTATGTGAAATGTGATAAATGGAAAGACAAATATCAGATCTAAAACTTTCTCCGTCTTATCCTTGTCATAATAAAATCATTAAGAAATGAAAGAAAGCTAACTCTTTACATCTGTCTTTCCAAATCACTTCGTAAAATGGTATTTTGCATAAAGTTCCGCAGTCTAGTCGGTGTAAATGCATATTATATACGTCAGATTTTCGGACAATGTGGCATTTACATAATTTTAACCGATACGTGCATTTTGCACGACTATCGTTGCACCGTGGATGATGCGATATCATTTATCAAACATCTGTATGAATCTCTTGCATATTTTTATCGTACAACGTAAAATAACAATGACATTCCATTGAAGGCCTTCGAAATCCACTAGCCAGGCCGCAAGAAAAAGTGCTTTAACATGTCACGTTGAGCTTGTTGTTCTCCATAAAGACGTATCCGAGATATTATTTTTTTCTTTATAGGATCAAAAATGTATATTTTGTCTGCCCGTTTCGATATACATACGTATACCTCTAGGGCTCCAACAAAGACTACTAGAAAAATACATTGACTGCCCCTAGGCGCTTGACTTGCCACCGAAACATTTAAAGGCGTGAAGGACCCAAACCCCTCGTGTTTTTACGAAGTCACTTTAGCACGGGGAGGCACTATACACGCTTCGTCAAACTTTTTCTGGGGTTTAGGTCTTGTATGATGACTGTTCAACACGTAAAATATCTCATAACTGTCAACTAGTGTTTCTGATTGTAAGCAAGCTGTTTAATAACACCGGAAAACTGGCTATCTGTTGAGGGCTGGTGTGGAATTGAATACGTTCTTGGTTGTTCCCTTTTTCATTGTTTAATGAGTTAAAAGAATAAACGCTATTGCATACATATTATTACATAAAAAAATAAACTATACTATACATAGAAAAACACACAATAAACTAATATATTAAAACAATCTAACAGACAAAACTTTCTTCTCTATTTTTACGTTTTTACTCTTCACGGACCTTTTTACGCAGCAACGTACTCGCTCACGCATACAATTCTGCTAACCTCATAAAATTACTTTCCCTTCTTTTTTTAACACTATCGATATCTGCGAATAAAATTTGACCTGAAGTAGCTCAGGCGTAACGTAGGTAGGTCGAGCGAACAAGCAACGCTCAAATCATCGAAGGGGCAAATTCCTGGTACGATAAGAGGAGGGGTCCGGGTCGGTCCGCGAATCGAAGGCTGTTGAATTCATCGAGCATTCGTGGTCGAACAGCCGAGCAGACGAGACGCAGAGCTTCTACTACGTGAACCTTACTCTTGTTAAATAAAATATCTTTAGTATCGCTTTAGTCAGGTTTACTACTACATGATAGATCTTTTGATGAGCTAAATACGAATCTGAGGAACTGTATTTTCCTAGCACAACAAGTTTCTGAAAAAATACATTTTTAAGAAAATTGCAAATTTTTAAATATGGAAGTGTGTTGTGCTTTTATAGTAATAGTTATTCCGTTGCTTTTGACACGAAATTATTCTCTGGATTCTCTCGAACAAAATTATGTGAATTGTTATTATATTGTGGATATTTAAATATGTTTAAATAATGATCAGAATGAAAAGCACACCGAAAACGCACTAATTTTACCTGGTATTCTTCAATGTATTTAAAAAACTAAGAGTCTAGGAGAAAATTTGACCATCGTACGCGATATAAGACACCTTTCTACTAAGGAAGGTGTCAAGAAAAGTACAAAATCTGTTTTATTCTCAATAGAGAAGCGAGATAGTTCATCAAAACACGCGGCGTCGGTAATAGTATTCAATGATGGCGGTCATCTTCTATGGGCGCGTTTAGCGCTCCCGTTACGCTGACAAGTTCCGTTACGTTAAGCTGATGATCAATCGGTTATTCATTAGCGACCAATAACGGTCTGCTATGCCTTAGTTGTTCCGGTTGTAGGTGGTGGTGGTGGTGGTGGAATCTTTATAATGCATCGATTTACCCACAACCCAGTTTGGCACACTGCAGGTTCACAACAGTCTTCGTTATTTAAACACTGAAAGAAAATACACATTACAATTAATTTTGGTAATTGAAAACATGGTCCTTAACACCAATTTGAATGACCTTGAAATATGATGTCAAAATCATCATTCTGAACAACTTTCCCCTATAGGTACATATATACATATGTATATTATTTTTGTAACACATCATTTAGTAAACTAATTCTTCTAACTTCACAAAGAACCTCAAGTCGCTTGGTCCAATTTTGAAAGAGTTGTTTTGTTTTAGAGGGTGTACGAATACTATTTTTACCCACTGTACATCTCATATAGATATATCTCAAGTCAGTATAGGTAATGCTTTGCACAGTATTTTTTTGTTTTCAACTAGCTTTAACCTACTCGAATCAGTAATAATGCATTGTGTCTACAGAGATATTCGCGAGAAACTGAAAATACTATTCAACGTATTATACAGATTTGAGTATTTGAAATCACTGAAATCGGTTAAGTGTGATTTTTAAGTTCACCCGCTGTTTGCCGACTGGTGTGATGTGTTTATAGAAACAGGAGGTAAGCGGTCGCTACATGCTGATGCATATGCCATTGCCATGAACGTGCACGCGTAGACTAAATTCAGTGATTAGCAGGAACAGTTTCGCGCGAATATCTCGAAAACTAAGAGACACCGCCTATTATATGTATAGGGAAAAGCTGTTCAGAATGATGGCCTTGAAAACATATTTCAACGTGATTGAAATGGATGCTGAGGATCATGCTCTCAATAATTACCCTAATTTTTAATATACCTTGTAATTATCAGTTCTTTATAAATATACCAGGACAAAATTTACAAATTGGATCAAACGCCTTAAAAGGATTTCGTAATTTGAAATTATTGTTCGTAAGCGTTGATAGTAATGTGAAATTATCCATTTTTTATACATAATAACTTTTTCCAGAAGAGCACATTTAAAAGTACGTGTGACAGACAAATGCGCAAAGACTGAATTTTCGAAAACCAAGCTCCATAATAAAAAAAATTATTCTGTATTTGAGATAGATTTTTATATATCGAATTATCACATTTTCATGTATTAATGTTACATGAAGAGAAAAATGTACTAATTTTCGTTTAACAAGTATCCACAAAAGTTACGAATGGATTTAAAATAAAAACATAGAAAAAAATATAATTTTGCAACAGAATGTCGTTCAGCTTGTGCTTGTCCCTGTATTATACTGTGCCCATCAATGATTACATACTTCGTGTAGTGAATAACCGTTATTTCCTAGTATATGTGACCCCCGTATAACCCCACCTTCCTATAACACTGTTTCGCTGTAACACGGTTTGAGAATTGGAGAAATCCCCGTACAACACGGAAGTTTAAGAGAGAACTTAACAAGTGCTTAGCACCACGTAACAAAATTTATAAAGATCTCGCAGTTAAAGGCAACCAATCTTAAATGACAAATTTTTTACAAAAAGCAGAGCATAGAACTCAAGATAATGGTGAAGAAAGTTCAGAGGATGAGGGTATCTTGTCAAAAAGAAAA